GAGGCGCGCCCGCGGCTCCTACTGCACATGCGCGGCGTCCTGTCAGCCGCGGCTCGCCGGGACCTAGTGCCTGTGTCCCGGCGTGATCTGCCGCCAGTGCGCATGCGCTGGGAGAGAAGCCGCGATCCCTGACCCTGGAGCCGCGATCCCTGACACCGAGTTTCGAAATGGTCAGCCCGCCCCTGTGTGGTACACTAGTCCATAAATATGAGAGAGCCATGCTAGAAACAGGAGTCGGATGGAAGATGAATTGCTGAGAGATGTTGCTATGTAGCCTGGGAGGGAGCCCAAGAGGAGGGGGGTTCTGATTCCAGGTTGGAGGCTGAAAGCTGACGAGAAGCTGAAAGAGTGAGGTCAAGTGTCCAGCCATCAACCGGGAAAGGACAGCTTGCAAAGCTTTGAGAGGAAACAGCTCAGCCAGAAGTCCTGACAGCAGTTTTATCCACAGCTGCAGGACATGGACAGTATGAGTACCTCTACACCCCCAGGGTCTAGAAGGGAGAGGTCTGCTGGATGCAAGTTCTGGAAAGTCTTCAGGGGACAGTTCATAGCTTACCCAATCTATTTTCCTGGGACCAGATACCGTAGCCAGGTGGGCTGGTATTCTGTGCACTAAGGGGACCAACGGCTCCTACACATTGTCACATTGCTAGAAATCCACTCAGGGGTCACCAAGCTCATAAAAGGCTGGAATGCAGTGTTTCATTTTTTTACTAAGTGTGCTAGAGCAGGAAACGTCCTCATTCTGCTATTTCTTTAAATTGGGCATCCTATAACCCCTTTAAGCTTTACAAGTTCAATCCCTTAATAAAACAACAACAAAAAAATCTCAAGGACTGTTTAGTGACTCCTGTGTGTAAAGTGTGGAAGAAAATGCATGCTGCCTGGCTGTGCAGAGCTTTAAGGGGACTCAAAACTCAGCGACTCCTAAGGGGGTAGTACTACAATGGGATTGGCAGAAATTTATAGAATTTACAATATACGTTCAGAGCACATTTTATGCCCAATTCATGCAAAACTCCACGTAATCCCAAGGGGTTCACATACTTTTTCTTGCAACTGTATACATATATATGGGTATATATGGGGAGGACAAGACCTGAGTGGCAATACTGTAAAAAAATAGTGAGTCCAGGGGTACAAGGGGCAGCAATCCATGCACAGCAAGGGTCATAAGGTCAATCCAAGGACACAAGGGACAAATAGTGAGGAGACAGGCCAGTAAGGCCAGAATAACAGCCATAAGTCAACAATCATATGGCAACAGTTCACAAGCCAGTAACTAAAGAACAGCAGCTCACAGGACAGCAATCACAGGGCAGCAGAGGGACTAATCATCCTGGTGGCTTCTGATGATTGGGCAGTGTCCATCATCAGGTGGAGGGTGAGAATAGGCACAGAAAACTACTGGATGCAGGGAGGAAGAGAGTCCTGTACATCTGGCAAGGCTTGGAGTACACACAGGCAACAGGGCAGCATGAGGGTTAGAGAACAAAGGACAGGAAGATCAGCAGAGTGAGGCAGTACCAGGAGAGGTTAATCTAGTGCCCAGGGCAAGGCTGTGGAATTCTGCCCCCTCCCCCCACTGCTAATGTATGCCATAGAATGGGTTTACTGCTTGTGTCCATTTACTGCCCCCTTGCTCAGCAAACTGCCCCTTCTGCCCACCCCTTGTCCTGGCCCTGGAGTGAGGACTGGCAGAGATTGTCCAGGGGAAGGTTGCTGGTTCCTGGGAGAGGTGCAGGTCTGAAGTGACCTGGCAGCAGTGTCAAGTTCAGCCAGTAGCAAGGCAACCCACAGCAGGGGCAAAGGATGAGAAGGGCAGAATGGCACCTATAGAGGAGAAGGCTCATGGGTCAAGGCAAGCACCCTTGTGTTCCCACAGGTTCTATGCAGAAAGGGAAAATGGGGAGTCTTGGTGTCCAGAAACCAACAAATACAGTAACCAAATCAACAAGGAATTACAAGTTCCAGCAGTCCCAGTGGCCAAAAAGCAGCACACAACCAATACAATACTATCATATAAGCAATTGTGCAGTAAATACTATACTATGATATATACAAAATGATTGAAAACACAAAATATGAATAGCAAAAAATCCATAAGATGTAGGTAACTGCCACCCAGTGCACGTAATGTTAAGTAAATTGATGATTTTCTTCCCCAGTATCGTGTAGATCACTGGTCTCCAAACTGCGGCCCTTTGCTCTCCTTTTATCTGGCCCTTGGGGCACTATTACATCCACAGATACCAATTAGGTATAATTCCACCCACTTACACCAATGAAGGGGGTACAACTCCTTCCAATGACACCAATGAGACACAATTCCTCCCAGTGACACAAATTATAGGGTCCAATGACATCACTGATGGGGTAGAATTCCTCCCACTGACACCAAACAAAGGGGCATTATTTTCTTCCCACTGACATTAGGACCTTTTCTACTCCCACTGGCCACGTGGGTGATTTCTGTTATCATTATGATTTAAAAAGGAGCCAAACAACTATTTGATAATAAATGGCTTCATATGGTCATCATCCTTCAATAAAAGAGCATTTTTTGGCATGATCAGTTATATTTTCAAGATCAATGCCAACATTTCACAATTTCTGCCAGGGTATGCAAACTTTTGAGCACACCTGTTTATAGTATATATACACTATATTGCCAAAAGTATTGGGACACCTGCCTTTACACGCACATGAACTTTAATGGCATCCCAGTCTTAGTCCACAGGGTTTAGTATTACATTGGCCCACCCTTTGCAGCTTTAACAGCTTCAACTCTTCTGGGAAGGCTGTCCACAAGGTTTATGAGTTTGTCTATGGGAAGGTTTGACCATTCTTCCAAAGCGTATTTGTGAGGTCAGGCACTGATGTCGGACGAGAAGGCCTGGCCTGCAGTCTTCGCTCTAATTCATCCCAAAGGTATCATATTGGGTTGAGGTCTGACTCTGTGCAGGCCAGTCAAGTTCCTCCACCCCAAACTTGCTCATTCATGTCTTTATGGACCTTGCTTTGTGCACCGGTGAGCAGTCATGTTGGAACAGGAAGGGGCCATCTCCAAGCTGTTCCCACAAAGTAGGGGGCATGAAAAATGTATATACTGTTTTTTTTTTACTAGTAATAGCAGTGATCAGCAACTTATAGTGGGGCTGTCATAGTGAGGTGGTCAATCTGACACTAACTGATGCTGGCTGGGATGTACACTTACTGACACTGACATCACCAGTGATACTAATACAGTGATCAATGATAATACTATACGCTGTCACTGTACTAATGACACTGGCTGGGAAGTGGTTAACATTTAGGGGCCATCAAAGGGTTAACTGTGTGCCTAACAATGTGTATTATGTGTAATGTTTGCTGCTTTTTACTAAATATCTGTTTGTTTCTTCTCTCTGCCTCGCAAGGAGAAGAAGCAAACAGATGGTTCCCTCTGTACAAAGCCCTATGTGTTTATCAACACAGGGCTTTGGGCTTTGATTGGAAACATCCGATCGCCAGGTCTCAGCCATGAATCATCAGCTGAAACCTGTTGCCAAAATCCCGCTATGTCCAATTACAGCAGGAGTCGGTCAAGGGCTCGTGCGCTGCCCAGAACCTGGAAGAAGGTGTCGATGTACATTTACATGATTGTGCCTGTACAAGCCACTCGCACTTAGTACAATCACTGCGAGCGGTCAGCAAGTGGTTATGGTAAACTCAGAAAGTGGATATTTGCTAAGCTTTAGGGAACTTTTAAAAATGGTGATGTGCCTAAGCAATACACTGAAAATCTACCTTTTGTCTTGAATTGCTTCTTAAAATTAGTAATACTCTTACCAATATGTGAGCGTACATGCCGCTATGTCTGTAGTGTGCGATATAAGGCATTGCTGCCTCTGACTACTAGTGTCAGGAGATTTGGAGTTAGATTTGGCTGTGTTACTTTTCACTGATCTCCTTGCTGGAGGCTGAAGCCCTGCAAAGCAAAGCCCTGCCTCTACCAAGATGGCCACCTCCACACATTTTAGAGCAAAGCAGGTGTAGCCACCCTATCCTGCACAGGGGTTACTATCTAAATTTAGTCTTGCTGGGTGGTAGACAATCTAGCTGATTTATAGTCAACTTGTTTATTTGGTTTTCCTCTAAATTCAGTTGAGCCGTGGATTTGCCCTTCTGCCAGTAGGTGTCCCTGATAGCTCTGGTATTAGTATGGGAAGCTACAGTAAAAATGACTTATGAATATCCATGTTTCCCTTAGCCAACCAGTATGAGGTTTATTGCCACTGGGGAGTGGGGGGCAAAAATGCTTGGGGACGGCCAGGTGAACTCTTCCTTCTGGGCAGGTGGCTAAGGGCTGAGAGGTATCAGAGGTTGCTGTGTTACTTGAGGTCCTGGAGGAGGAACTCATGGGGAACCCGTAAAGGTACAGATTGCTGGATTCAGCTTAAAGGCTTGTTTTCTCTGTACCGAAGCTCAGAGGCGTCCCTAGGGTAGGTGTCACCCGGTGCGGTAACACTTGGTGATACCCCCTCCAACGATCCCCGCAGAATGGATCAGATCTGCGGATTGAGAATAATGAATAAAATATATTGAATATGGCCAAAATTGTAGCATTTAAAATATATGTCATTATATTTTGGAAGAATATATTTAAAATATTTTTCTTCATGTGGGTAATGACACGGTAGTGCAGTATCATACAATCTGGTGCCTGCAAACGCACTGCGTTTGCAATCAATAATAGTGAACAATTAAAGTGTTACTAAACCCCGGACCCGGCATTCACTATATCTGGTCTTCCACAGTACACAGAACATGGAAATGCAATTAATTTTATAAATATAGACTGCTAAATACCTTTTCTCATCAGCAGTTAGAGCAGTCTTGTGACTTCTATCCAGCAGAGCACTAGCTAAGCTTGTCGGAGGAGTTTTCATTTTGCTCTAGGAGGATGCAGTAACCTTGACCTCTGTCTGGACAGTGCTCATTGGCCCTGTGCTGATCACATGCACTCTCCCAAGAAAAAAAAAACAAAAAAAAACTCTCTAGCAATACACACCAAACTGAGCATGTGCAGAGTGTCTCCACAAGATATGTCTTATCAGGAGATAAGAGGGGGACACTGGAAGAAGGGGAGGATCAGAGAAGACAGGATCAAACAGCGTTTTTTCACAACACAGAGGATTAACCCCTTAGGTTCCACAGTGAGTATAACAAGTATGCTTTACTGCATATACAGACTGATTTTACTGTTGTGGGTTTAGTAACACTTTAAAGGAATAGAATATCCTTATTTATTATACAAAAAAACAGTAAAAATAAAAACACAAGTTAATGGGCAGCACAGTGGCTAAATGGTTAGCACTTCTGCCTGGCAGTACTAGGGTCGTTGGTTCAAATCCTAGCCACGGCACCTCCTGCCTGGAGTTTGCATGTTCTCCCTGTGCCTGCGTGGGTTTCCTTCGGGTACTCCGGTTTCCTCCCACTCTCCAAAAGACATGCTGGTAGGTGAATTGGATCCTGTCTAAATTGTCCCGTGTATGTATGAAATGTAAGTTAGGGACCATAGATTGTACACCCCTTGAGGGTAAGGGACTGATGTGAATGTATAATATATATGTAAGGCGCTGCATAAATTGACGGCGCTATATAAGTACCTGAAATAAATAAAATAAAAATATATTGGCCGTGCTAAGTAAAGTGATTCGAATGTTCTAAGTAGGCAACTTAGTCTAACATTTCTGTCTCTGTTATATAAATGAATATGTAAACAAAATCAACTATTCGTTTGTGTGCCTGCTCTTTTTCTGTGATTTATCATGTATTTCTCATTATGATTTAAAAATGTTACAGGTGGACCAGGGGCGGACTGACAGCTCATGGGGCCCCCGGGCAATAGGGGATCATGGGGCCCCTGTGTCCTTGCCTAAACTCAAAAAAGCCTATGAAAATGGTACCAGGGGCATCTCATGGGGCCCCCTACTGACCCCAGGCCCTCGGGAGGTTTCCAAATGGTCAGTCCGCCCCTGAAGTGGACCTAAATACCTAGCTTTCAAAGCATGCATCTACTGTATCTACAGCAACAGCAGAGTGTCATGTCAAAGCTGGGGTAAAACACACTGTTTGTTGTTTACTTATTTAGAGGCATTAATTAGGTGAGAAGAAATATCATGGTGTCATGCAGAGAAAATGCAGCCCACTTGATACAAAGTGGTTTTGTAGAGTAAAATGTGAACTTTGATAAAGCAAAAGCTACACGGCAAGAACCTTCTGAATGAGAAGAGAAGCAACAGCTATACAACTTCCTCATTCCAATGATACCTCTACAAGAAATGGGGGAAAGAATGATAAAATGATACCAAGAAATGAAGATATAGGCAGCAATGAAATCATTGATATTCTTACCCTGTCCCACTATACTACAGTGTGTTTCTGATTTGGTCTTGGTCAAAGTTGGAGAGATGTCCCATCACTTCCCATCCTGGCAGGAACCAGATATATGATAACATTGCACCAATTGAAGTGAAAATTGGTTCTGATGGATTTACCATAAAGTGCTTTATCATTCAATGAAGGAAGCAGATCTGACTTTAAAATATAGTGTGGGTGAACCCTGTTCTGGTCCTAGGCTTCTACCTTTCTGAAACAAATGGAGCCCTCACCAGTTCTTGGATGTGCACAGAGGAGCTCCTGGTACAAACGTTCATCTCACTTAAATTACTTTTTGAAACATTATCCGGTTAAGAGCATCAAATACATCCAACATGTTTTTTTTTGGGGGGGGAGCCTGCTTCTTCAAGGTTTGAGCAGTCAATGTTAATCAAATCAAAACAAAATGCACAATGGGACCTGTGTTAAGTCTTGATGAAGGTGGGTGGTTTTAGTGTTGTCAGGAGATGCTAGTCAGGTTTTTAAGTTCAAAGGCACAATGGAAGTGAATAAAGATGAATTTTTGGAAAGGAAAAACACCACAAGTAAGCAATTAAAATAGTTGATTTTTTTGTTCTTTCATCTAATTTTAGTTAGACACAGGGTCTCTTTAAGGGTTTGTACTGTCTTGGTGACCTGTTTTTTACTCCTAAGCCTATCATTAACCCCTTCCTGTTGGCCATATGCATATGTATGGAAGTAAGGCAGTGGGTTTTAATACACTGCTCCTACATATATGTGGTATACAGCTGGAGCCACTGTCCTGTGCTGGAAGCATGCTCCATTCTGCCTCCTTTGATATCCAACAGGTTCTGGTCACAACTACTGATCTGGAATCGGTAAGACTTCTGGGTGGGGCCACCTTGTTCGTGCACTTGGGGGTACCTTTAGCAGTTGTGCATGCTCATTAATGTCCAAGACCAGGTGGGGCTGCATTAATGTGCAATAAACAATATGGTGGCACTCCAGATTAGAGACGTACTGTACACCATGTGCAGTAGTTAATAGTACAGAGTCCCCTGTGAAGCATACCATTCCGTGTCACTACACATCTTATATGTGAGTTGCATTTAGGAGGGACAGTGCTAAGCCTATGCCCTACTTGTCCAGCATAACTCTATCACCTCACTCCCAGTAACAGAATGAGGTCTTGCCATGCACTAGCATGAACCTTGTGCGTGCAAGTTAGTACTCCTGCTGTTCTCCTGTACCATGCAGCCAGCCAATGTGTCTCCTCAACATGGGTTTGAGCCACGTTTGGAGAATTGGCCACTGGGGAGGGAGTCAGAGCACCGACCCCCTTGCTACCGAGGATATACTGCCATGCCAGGTACTACGCTTTATGACAGGCTACTAAACACCTTTTACCAGTCCTTGGTTACCCATGGCAATTACTCTTCCACTCCTCCTACCAAGTTAACCTTTTGTAGTGGACTTGCTTCATACCCCACATGTGCCTTATTGACCCTGTTTTTTCAATTGCCAGAAACAATCATGCACCCCTTTAGAGTAACTTCAGACCAGGCTTTTCTGTAGTTTCTCATGGCAGAGTAAATAACAAGCATAACTTAGTCCAGGCCCTAACCTAACTAGCAGAGGTGGCTGTCTAGGCATACCTTAACAGGTTATAAATATACAATTCCAAAACCTCCTGCTCATGAGTGTGGAGTGTTATAGAACCTAGTGCATTATCCCAAGGGAGTTTATTAAAAGTAGATAAAAGCATATATACTCACAAACAACAAAGTTGTTACAGCAGTATGAGAATAGCTATGCACTAGCACAGTGGTAGGTAGGACCCAGGTAGAGGCGAATACCAAGGAGACGCTATCTGGGAATCCGCGGTGGCTTACGCTTTCAAGAGCAAGCCCTCTTCATCAGAGCCTAAACATACCTTAACAGGTGCTCGCCCATAACTGGTGATCTCCAATGGCTTGTAGTGTCCTCAAAAAATCTGGTATCCTGTGGAACTACATGCTGGCTCTCGAACTTCTCAACTCCAGGCTCTCTATGTACTCTCTTTCCAATTTTTCCAAGGGGGCCTCTCTCGAACCAAACCTTCCCCCGATTTAGGCATATCGTGGGGTGGAAGGCCTGCTCTAGAAAAAGCACAGGAACTGAGGTTCTAGAAGTTAACCCCTTCTCCAGCCTGGGCAGACCATATAGGTAGATTATGTACACAGCTCAGTGTAGGCACCTATCTACAGACAGGTTCCTGACCATGCGATCACTTTGACAACCTATCACAGTTATCCCATGATCTGCAAGCCCAGGAAACACCTCTGGCATAAAAAACCCCCTTAAAGAACCAGTTACCACCAGCAGAACCTTGTGTTTTTCACCTGCATAAAATGTGCATTCATCTTGTAAAGAATCTGTAAAGAAACCAAGTATCTCACGATCCCATGGTCTCTCAGTCTACTGTTCTGTAGGTGAGAAATACAAAGTAATTAGATGTGACACAGTCACAGAGAGCTCACACATGCTGAAAAAGACATGTTTTCATCACATTAGCACTCCCACATTTTGTGATGCAACACAGAGAAAATGGCAAATTATGTATTGTATGCTGTGTGACCTGGAACAAGAAGTACCCAGTTCACCAGGTGGATAGGGACAAGCTACCTGTAGCAATACATGGACATAGGGGAATTGATCAGCCATGACACTACAAACTGCAACCACATCATGTGAGCCTCTTAATAAAAAAATCTAACTAACCTGGAGGACGTTTGACTAGGTAAAACAATGAAAAATTTTGAAAGTGTACAGTGCTTTTAAACAAGCCAGTGAATTCATACAGCGCATCCAGAAAGTATTCACAGCGCTTAACTTTTTCCACATTTTGTTATGTTACAGCCTTATTCCAAAATGGATTAAATTCATTATTTTCCTCAGCATTCTACAAACAATATCCCATAATGACAACATGAAAGAAGTTCCTTTTGAAATCTTTGCAATGTTTTAAAAATAAAAAAAAAAAAAAAAACCCACATGTACTAATTATTCCCAGCCTTTGCCATGACACTCAAAATTGAGCTCTGGTGCATCCTGTTCCCAATGATCATCCTTGATGTTTCCACAACTTGATTGGAGTCCACCTGTGGGAAACTCAGTTGATTGGACATGATTAGGAAAGGCATAAACCTGTCTATATAAGGTCCCACAGTTAGTGCATGTCAGAGCACAAACCAAGCCATGAAGTCCAAAGAATTGTCCATAGACCTCCAAGACAGGACTGTATCAAGGCACAGATCTGGGAAAAATTTCTGCAGCATTGAAGTCCCTATGAGCACAGTGGCCTCCATTGTCCATAAATAGAAGAAGTTTGGAACCACCAGGAATCTTCCTAGCGCTGGCCGCCTGGCCAAAATGAGCGATCGAGGGAGAAGGGCCTTAGCCAGGCAGGTAACCAAGCATCTGATGGTCACTCTGAAAGAGCTCCAGCATTTCTCTGCGGAGAGAGGAGAACCTTCCAGAAGAACAACCATCTCTGCAGCACTCCACCAATCAGGCCTGTATAGTAGAGTGGCCAGACGGAGGCCACTCCTCAGTAAAAGGCAAATGGCAGCCCGCCAGGATTTTGCCAAAAGGCACCTGAGGGACTCTCAGACCATGCGAAACAAAACTCTCTGGTCTGATGAAACAAACATTGAACTCTTTGGCCTGAATGCCAAGCGTCATCTCTGGAGGAAACCAGCTACCGCTCACCACCTGGCCAATACCATCCCTACAGTGAAGCATGGTGGTGGCAGTATCATGCTGTGAGGATGTTTTTCAGTGGCAGAAACTGGGAGACAAGTCAGGATCAAAGGAAAGATGAATGCAGCAATGCACAGACATCCTTGATGAAAACCTGTTACAGAGCGCTCTGGACCTTAGACTGGGGCGACGGTTCATCTTTCAAGAGGACAATGGCCCTAAGCACACAGCCCACATAACAAATGAGTGGCTACGGGCCAACTCTGTGAATGTCCTGGAGTGGCCAAGCCAGAGCCCAGACTTGAACCCGATTGAACATCTTTAGAGAGATCTAAAAATGGCTGTGCACCGATGCTTTTCATCCAACCTGATGGAGTTTGAGAGGTACTGCAAAGAAGAATGGGAAAAATTTCCCAAAAATAGGTGTGCCAAGCTTGTAGCATCATGCTCAAAATGTAATTGGTGCTAAAGGTGCTGCAACAAAGTATTTAGCAAAGGCTGAGAATACTTATGTACGTGTGGTTTTTTTTCATTTCTTATTTTTAATAAATTGCAAAGATTTCAAAACGAACTTCTTTGTCATTGTCATTATGGGATATTGTTTGTAGAATGTTGTAGAAAAAAAATGAATTTAATCCATTTTGGAATAAGGCTGTAACATAACAAATGTGGAAAAAGTTAAGCGCTGTGAATACTTTCTGGAAGCACTGTATGTGAAATTGGACACGTTGCCAGTATGGAAGCAGTAGCTCAGTTTCCAAATCAGTCTATGGTCATTTAAAGTGGAACTCTCTCAATCAACATGAACTATTTTT